CAAGTATCTTCTTGAAGTCCCTCAAATTAAGGTAAAGAATAAGAACAAATCATTCTGGAAGAACACCAAGGAAATAGCTTTAGATATTTAAGTGACAATTGAATTTATTCTCATAATGGTTTTAATAGCTTTTGTATAATCTTCATCTCTATTATGAGATATAAAATGTATTTGTCAAATCTGTAATCATTATGCCAAAAAATCTGAATTACTGTAACATTTTGTATATTGTTAAAACTTTAACTTTAATTGTAAAAAACACTTCATATTTATTAATTTTATCTTATATGTATGAGTATATTGCCTGTATGCATGTATGTGCACCCATGTCGTGCAATGCCTGTAGAGGTCAGAATAGGTCACTGGGTCTCCTGAAACTGGAATTATGGATGATTGTTAGCTGCCATGTAGGTGCTGTGATTTGAACCCAGGTCCCCTACACGGGTAGCCAATGCTCTTAATCACTGAGTAATCTCTCAAGCCCCTTACCACATTTTTAATAGAAATGTACTGAAGGCATTAGTATTTTAGCAATATTGTACAGACTTGTCATAAGAACTCCATGGATATTCTGAGGCACTAACCTGTATACTACAGTGTTAAGCATTCTCACTCACTAAAATACATATACAATGATGTCTAGTAAGTGATGTTTCTTTTCCTCATATTACTTTTCTCCACATTTATCACAAACACAACCCAAAAGGCACCAGAAAATAGTTTCGCTAAAACATGTCTATGTTAAAACAACTGGATATTCCTAAGGATTGTTGCAGACCTTCTCTTAAACTCTAACAAATGAATCAAAATCAAAACATCAATTTGACCTAGAGGTCAGTGATACAATTTTTTTTTCATTTACTTGTACATATGGAGACATGTCCAAAGAATAACAAGTATTCTACTTAAATATATAACAGAGTAATTGAATATAAATTTCTAAAGTTTTCCTATCATTATCATCACTACTGCCAAAAATTTTCATGTTTGTCTTTTGGGGGGGGAGGTATGAGGAATGGAAGTGCTTGTTTATATTTCATTTTATGATGCCCCCTCCCAGAACATACAGAGATTGATCATTTCTAAGAAGATTTAACAGTAGAAAAAGAACGTCCTCATGTATAGTATGTCTTCTTTGGCTCAAAGGAAGATCTGGAGACTGTGATGAGTTAAATTTTAAAGACGGTTCTCCAAGACACATGGCCTCTGGTTATTCAAACATTCACTGAGATATCATGGTTAAAATTTTTTTGTAAATGCAGTTTATGTCGCAGACCAGTTGATCTTCCAATGTGTAGGTTATACAATATGCTTGTTTATATTACATGATCATTTTTAAAGCAGAGAATTTGATTTTCTTTAGACACAAAGAGAAGAACAACATGAATAAAAAGTATACTTAGGATTGTTCATCCTTTCCTGGTTTTGAAGATGGGAAGGACCATGGCCTGAGGAATGTATTTACTCGAGAAGATATTAGGGCCTCTGGATGACAGCCTGAAATTGTCTGCTTCAGTCCTACAATCATGAAGGACAGATTATGCCTAACTTGCAGAAACTGTGAGATAATAAAGAGCTATAATTTGGGATGACAGTTTTGTCATAATTATTGTTAGACTACAGTAGATGACTAATACAGATTTTTTAAAATTGCTGTAATACAATTATCCTTTTAGTCTGGATTATAATGTAGTTATGAAAGATGAGATCTTAAAATCATAATATAAACTGTTGCATTTAATTATTGATATTTGCTGTGACACCTGAGAGTAGTATGTTTTGTATTAAAAAATGAATGCTCATTTGCACAGTAACATATTGGTACATGTACACACATGTAGCATATACACATGTATTTTATAAAAGGAGGATTACTTATTTTGGGGGTTATTTTGTTTTAAGGTTTTCAACTTTTGGATTATTTACATTCCAGTTAAATGTGTGAATGGTTTATTTCCACAGGTCTCTAGTAAAGCAATGTCCACACTATGTAAAGGCACTGATGTTTGTAGTTGCCCTAGTTTTTTCTCTGTTGCTTCAATAAAACATTCTGTCTAAAGCCACTTGGAGAGTAGTGTTTATTTTGTCTTATGCATCCAGGTCACAATACATCACTGAGGGAAGTCAGGATAGGAATTCAAGGCATCTGCTTCCTCTTTGCACAATGTTTGGCACAAGGAAAGAACCTATTACTATTACTGTTCTATAAGTGAACATATAATCAATCTGCCTTCTAAATATTTATCATTATACCAGCAGATTAGTGCAGCTCTCAACTTCATCAGAGAAGCTTCCTTTTTCAGTGGACAGTGGTCAATACGGAGATTCACAACCCGCCAAAGTACAGAGAATAAGTATGGTGTTGTGTTCACCCTGAAATGGGGCATTTGCATCACATGTTCAATCCCCAAGGCTCAGGGAATATCAATATCTTTTACGGAAATGTCATAAAATTCATTTAAAATGGGTCTAGAGAGATGACTCAGTGGTTAAGAGAACTGACGGCTCTGGCAGGGAAACAGGTTCGGTTCCAGGCACCTACATGAGAGTAACAACTGTCCGTTAACTCCATTTCCAGGGGATTCAATGCTCTCTACTGACCTCCATGAGTATTGTATGACACAGGTGCACTTACATATATGCAGGCAATACATTCATATACATAAAATAAAATGATAATAAATAAAATATTAAAAAATGAAAAAATATTTTGCCAAGATTCTGCTTTTATAAATGTTTTCCATAGAGGTAGTTCATATGTGTAGAGACCTATCTATGCCTAAGCAAGGGTATTTTACAGTTTAGATATAAGTAAAAAATGAAATGTAAATCTATGTAATAGAACAGCAGCTATTCAGGATCCCTAGAGCTGTGCTGAAACCTCCTCCCAGGAAATGTTTGTAAGTGAAGTATATAGTAGTATGTTTTATATTAAAAAATGAATGCTCATTTGCACAGTAACATATTGGTACATGTGCACACATGTAGCATATACATACATATTTTATAAAAGGAAAATTACTTATTTTTTGTTTCTGAGGGAAAACTTCATAGAGTTATATGAGAAATCATTATTTCTAGTGGGCAGAACTTGACACATTACAACTGAAAGCAAATATCATCCACTGGATATCCTTTTCTTTTTAATTTTTTTGGTCTGTCACTTTTTAACTATGTGCCTATATTATTATTATTATTATTATACTTTAAAAAAATCCACTCTCCTCATATTTTTCTCTACATTCTTTCTTGGTTCAACTATTATAGCACCTTCAATATATTTTAGATTCCATCTATTATTTTGTCAAAGGTAGAGAAATACAAGCAGCTACTCAGTTTAGCAAGGGTCAAATGAGTTGGTAGGTCTTTACGATATTAAATTTCATTATTCAGAAACTGAAAGAATGCATAGTGTTGAGTATGGTTATGTGCATACTGATTACAAAAAGTATTTTCTCCCAAAGCGATTTTAGTTTTCAAACATATTTATTACCCTCTTTGTACTCTTAGATGACTGAAGGGGGAAACATGCATTAATGGAAATGAAGAACAGAAAAGTTTAGTTAGAATGTCTACATCTTAGCAAAATAACCAAAATATTTATTTCAAGTGTTTTTTCATTACATACCTAATTTGACATTAACCCCTAATATTTTCGAGTTCTATGCGATTTGTAAGAGAATCTGAAACATTTTCCATCATTTCATTTGAAGTCTGTGCATTTTGTTGATTTATACCCACCTCATGTTTAGTAAAATTATTAAATTCCCTATGGCATTTTAACACCTAGAGATATTTTATGTAATTCTAACACATCTGAAACATACTGTGTTTATTTCTGAAGAAAACTGTGAGTTGTTTGACTACAGTAAGCATCTTAATGCCAAACATTGACTGATATTAGACAAGACTCCCGATGGGCAAACGAGGTAGACACATGTAAGCTTGAGGAGTTTTGCTGAGGTTGATAGGGTTTCCATCGAGTCGAATGTCTTCTAATGCCTTACGAATATAAGTTAAATTTTTAACATTACAGAAGGTGTCTTCATGCATCTCCAGAATGTTGTTATTCTAGAAAAGAAAGAAGATAAATTAAATAATAAGATACACCACATCGTTAATGCTGAATGATACTGTAGACCATTTTGATTCACCCTGTTTTATCCATTTCTTCTCTCAGACAAGACTATTCATTTTGTGATTTTTATGTAACAAGCACTGCCTGTACCGTGGGGATAAGTTAATTAACAAAATAGTTACACTTCTGTCATTATTGAACTTATAATTCAGTATGAAAAATACTGCATAAGTGAGGAAATTAATTGATAGAAAAAGTGTTTTTAAAAATAACAAATCTTTGACAAAGAGGGCCATGGTTAGAAGACATAAGCATAGGAGGAACTGAGGGAAGAACATCACAGGGAGAGAGAAAGCAAGTTCAAAGTCCTGAGGTTGTCTGAGAATGCAGCTCTCTGAACATTTTACATTCAAGTCACTTGGCTGAAGTCAAGTGAGAGTGGGAAAGAAATATGAGGAAAATACAATTTCCCTCTTTTGTAGCTACTAATCTGCTTTCTGTTTTTATATATTTTCCTCTTCTGAGCATTTTACATATGTAGAATCACAGTGCTATCTTTTTTAAAAAGGTTTTTTTTTTTTTTTAGCAATAATGAACACTTGAAGAGAGGTGGGTAGCTACTTAAGTTAGTGTAAGATGTAGGTTTAGCTTTCTCATTTGGCAGTATGTTTTTAAAGCTCATACACATCAGAGGATATGTGATATTTTATTCTTTTTATTAACCGAGAGTATTGTATTATATGCATATATCCTACATTTATCAATTTATCTGTTTATGTAAATGTGGATAGCTTTCAAATCCAAATTTTGGTTCTCATGTCTGGTGGTTTGAATGAGTATCCCCCATAGGCTCCAAGTATTTGGACACTTGGTCCTCAGTTTGGGGAAAGACATGGAACTGTTAAGAAGTGTGGCCATGCTGGAAGAAGTATGTCACTGGGCAATGGGCTTTGAGAGTTCTGAAGCCTTGCCAGATTTCTAGATTCTCTCTGATTTCGGTGCCTTCTTCAAGATATGAGTGCTAACATTTCTGCTCTGGCCCCTTGATGCCATTATGCCTCTGCTGCCTAACCTCTGGAACCATAAGCCATAAAAACTCTTTATTCTATATGCTGTCTTGGTCATAGTGTTTTATCACAGCAACAAAGAAGTAACTAATACACCGTGAATAACTCCTTTACCACTTTCATGAATAATAGTTTGACAAATATTTGTTTACAAGTTTTATGTGTACATATAATTTTCATTTCCTTTATACACACACACACACACACACACACACACACTATATATATATATATATAATCATTGAAGAGTTGTCATTCTGTGTTTCATATTTGGAGGAACTGTTTAAAATATTTTCAAAGAAGTTAAAACATTTTACACTCCCACTCCAATAATATAGAATACAAATTTCTTTGCAACCTGATCAATAGTTTTGGATATGAAAAGTATCTCCTTTGTGTTTGTTTGTTTTTATTGCTAGTGTACAGAGTGCAATCAATACTTTATACTGATTCATATTACGCTGCTGAACGCATGTTGTTCTAAATTGTTAATGTGTTCCTTAAGATACGTTACATGCAAAACATTGCAGATGAATTTGAGAATCATGTCTATCTTAATACTACTAATTTCATATCCATAGGATGAACATATTTGCTTTTGGGGGGAGGATTTTCCTACTTTTCACTATATATTATAGCTTAGATTATATAAGGCTTACCATTGTTTTCTTAAATGTATTCTATGTATCATTAAAAATATGTGAAAATTAAGCTTGGCATGGTGAAACATGCCTTTCACTCATCACTCAGGAGGCAGGGACAGGCAGATTGTTGTGAGACTGAGGCTAACCTGGTCTACATAGTGAATCCAAGGCCAAATGGGACTACAAGGAGACCCTAATTCAAAAATACTTTTTGAAAAGTGAAAATTGGGGCTGGAGAGATGACTCAGCAGTTAAGAACACTGGCTGCTCTTGCAGAGGACTGGGTAAGATTCCCACCACTCACATGGTGGCGAACAACAGTTCTTAACTCAGGTTCCAGGGTATTCTGACTCTCTCTTCTGATCTCTGTGATCATTGCATGACATGGGTGCACTTACACACATTCCAGCAATATGCTCAAACACATTAAATAAAACTAATAAATAAAATATATTTAAAAAGTGAAATTATAATTTCTTTGTGATGTGTGATTTTGCATACCTGTAATCTCAGCTTTGAGTGGGCAGAGGCAAGAGAATTTCTGACTGCTTTAAGGCTTGTCTGGTTTACACAGCAAGTTCCAGGATAGTCAAGGCTACATAGTGACACTCTGTGCCAAAAAAACAAAAAAGAGGGCTAGGCAGATAGACAGACAGATAGATAATAGTTAGAAATACAGAGAGATGATGGATAGAAATATAAACAGATGATAGATTTCAGATTATTTACTCCGAATGTATAGAAGTATGACTGCTATTTTTATATTGATTATATTGATATTATAAATTCTTGTCAGATTGATAAATCCACCTTAGCTCAGGTCATTTTAATGGATCCCTTAGTATTTTCTCTATATAAGATGATATCATCTGAAAATGAAATCAGGGAATCACTTCACTTGCAATATTACTTATTTATTTACTTAATTTGTTTTTCCTGTTTTCCTTACTAGAAGTGTCAAAGCAATATTTAACAAGGTAGTAAGACAAACAGTTTAGGTAATGTTTCTGATTGTAGGATGAACAGATTCAATTTTTCTCCATTAAATATGAATTTTGTTGTAGATTTTGAGTAGATATACCATGCTGAGGATGTTTCCTAGTTTTTAAAAGTGATTTTACACTAAAGGACTGTTGAATTTTGTCAAATGCATGTTCTGTACCTATTTAAATAATCAGGCAATTTGTATTCCTTATTCAATATTTACGTTGCTTTAATATTAGTAAATAAGCTGAAATAAATTCAAGTTAGCAATGATATTCTGTCCTCGGGCATGTTAGTGGAACTGATTCTCAGCCTTTGGGCTAAGATGAAGTGCAGCATCTCTTCCTACATGTTTATAGATTCATTTTGTGGTCCTTGTCATGTTGTGTGTAGTTTTCTTTTCTAGTGATATCCTTGGCACATTGCATGATTGAATATTTACCATTGGGATGATGAAAGAGGAAATTTTCCTCTTTTTCATTTTTTGGGATAGTTTCTGAAGGATTAAAATACAAATATATTTTCTATTTACAAATAAATAAGTATAATCCGAAAAGTTCACAAGAGAGATAAGCAGTCAAAACTTAGATACATACAGAAAGATACCAAAAGTATAGAAATCTATACATCAATAGGAAAAAAATGATATAGAAGCAAATATTAATTGAATCCAGGGGAACGCTGAAACCAGAGATTTTTTTCTTACTTGGCAAAATCACTTCTTGTAACAGAATGTAATTTTTCTGCTAAAAATTACAATAGATACCTTTCCTGCATATTTATTCCATCAAAAATATGAAATAATTAGAGAAGGCTGATTATACCTGAAGAGCACGTTACATCCATCTGGGGAAGAAGCAAATTATCTCCCTTTGTTTCAATAGCCAGAATGTCTCAACTGAGCAAATTTTAATTATATGGGTGTCAACGAGCTATATTTAGGAACTATTAAATCATAGCATTTTTGAAAATGGGTTTTCACTCGTTGCTTCAAAGATAAAATGCAGCCTAATGAAATGAAAATCAAAGCTTTTAAGAATGTTAATTTTTTAAAAATAAAGAAAAATAAAACAAATAGTTATTCTTCATTTATATAAAGAAAGTGAGGCTTGTCAACTCTCAGCACATGGGAATGACTTTGGGCTGAGTTTACTGCAATATGTGATACTCAAAATTAAAAGAAATGAAATTGACAATATTCTCTGATATGTAGAAATCAAGTTCCTCTTGATTCCTCCTCCTCCAGCTGTCTTCCTCCTCTGATGCTTAAATATTTCATCATCAAATGAAGCTTTCATCATTTAAAAATGTATCTCTATTACCTTAAAAATGCAATTTTAGAGACTTGAGAGAAGATCAAGTGGTTAAGAGCACTGGCTGCTCTTGCAGAGGACCCAGATTCAGGTCCCAGCACCCACATGGCCATTGTCCTTAACTCCAGTTCCAGGGCATCCGCTACCCTCTCTGGCCTCCACAGGCATTACAGACACACAGAGAAAATAATTACACACATAAAGTAAAAGTGAATAAATATTTAAAAATCCAATTTTATTTGTAAAAGAATAATGACTAAAGTTATCAGAAATTAATCAGAAAAGATAGGACCATGAGGGTGCAAATACCTTCGTCTCTGGTGAAATGAATGTGTGGAGAAAATGAAGGCAAGAAATAGCAGAAAGAATGTACTGACAGGACATGATATATGAGATTTGTGAGACTTAGCTTCACTCTTTGCTTTTATTCTCTCTAAGGGTTTCAGGCTCACGTTTTAGCGAGAAGCCTACCTGGAGGTGAAGGGCCCGCAGGCTTTCTGGGAGTGGCAGAGGGATATGATCCAAGTTGTTATCCGTGAGATACAGATGGTGGAGATCATACATGTCCTATAAATACCCAGATGGAAGACTTATTAGAATTTCTTATGTAGATGATAATTCATGGCTTTGATCAAAATACCTGTATGCATGTATGGAATTCTCAGTAAAGTTTTTGTAAAAGTTAAAAAAAAATTCCATATCCTTGTCAATGTTACCTGACCAATTGTGTTTTGGAAAACCTCAGTATGAGTACATTTCTTCATGAAAAAGAAATTTTTTCTCAATCTTTTAAGAAGAAACATTGTATTCAACATAATTTCTCAATTTAGATAAGGCATATATTTTCCATGTAATAATTTTTGAAATTAGATTTTGAAGCTTTTTGAGACACAGCATTCCTTTATTTTATAGGCATGGAGAAATGAGAATTTCTTCTTAGCCGTCTAATGTGTTTTGTTTTGCTGCAGAATAGCAAACAAAACACATTAGACGGTATCTGGTCTACTCTTGTCAAAGAACACAGGAAAAGACGAACTCCTTTGCAGCCACACTGGGCCGCTTCCACCCTTGCCAGACTATCATGAGATGCCCTAACTGCCTCACCTGCTGCTGGCAGGAAACCTAGTAAAGAGATGTTGGGGACAAGGCCACACTATCTACTATCACTTCCCTGGGGATAACACTTTTACCTTCAGTGGTTATTTTGAAATGTATTGTCCAATGTATATCCGGAGAATTTTGAGTGGGATGGGGTGAAAAAGAACACCAACTGCTTACTCTTCTCACATTGCATGCTGTTCGTTCTAGCTCCAAACCTGTTTGCTTCACTTATAAAATAAGTTCCCAAAGGCTGACTTAATCTAACCTTATAGCTTTATGCTCTCAAGGACCTGATCCCACCCAGTAAGTTAACAAAATGACTTTTCTCCCTGGTTGGAGTTATAAAAGAATGTAAACTTTCTGGCTCATACACCTGTCAGGAGATTTTTTTGCAAACTAGTGTTCAAGTACCACCCACTTATAATTCAAGGTCTATTCTCTTTCCACAGTGCTTGACCGCCTTCAGAATGTACCAGAGCACAGTGTTTTTCAAAAATTTAATAGACTGTACAGAGAGGTTTATTTTTAGAGATTAAAAGTCTCATTAAGGAAATTCTCTTGAAGAAGTGAAAGGCTTTTAATTGAAAAGGGATGGAAGGGGATGATGAGGTTGTGTATCGTGAGACATCTAAAACTCACTTTAAATGCTTCTTGCTTGATCCCTTTCCTCCCAAGTCTATTGTTGCTAATGTCAATAAATGTCAAAGTAGCAGGCAGTTCTGGGAGCTGCCTTATTTTGTTGTCACGTAGGACAAGCTCTCGAAGATGAGGCAGCTTGCGGAATGCATCTTCATCAATCTCAGAAATTAAGTTTGATGTCAGATCAATCCTTTTCAAATCATCTATAAGGAGAAAAGAAGTTAATAGCTAAATATTCTTGAATATTGTTTACTTAAAACACGAACATATATATATTCTCACATACTATTAATGCAGATATGACTTCAATTTGTAATTAATAATAGACAATTAATGAAATAGCTGCTTTCAAAGTATTTTATAAAATTACTTTCTTCAAATGTGATCTGTATCTGTAGTCTTACAAGAAATTGTTCTTTAGCAAAGAAACCGTCAAGGTACATTTAAAATAGTTGATCTTTCTTTACTTTATATTCTTCAAAAACTTTGTATTTTACTATTTAAAATGTTTTCATAGATTTAAAAATGCTATATTTTTCTGATAACTCGAGATACATATTTTGTAAAGAAATCTTCAACACTGTGTGTGGTGGTGCACACCTTTGATCCCAGAACTTGGGAGGCAGAGCCCAGGGAATCTCTGTGTGTGTAAGGGGTGTTAGAGTGTGAGAGAGAGAGAGAGAGAGAGAGAGAGAGAGAGAGAGAGAGAGAGAGAGATTTTCAAAAGTCTTCAAAATAATTAAAATACTTTAGGCAAGAGAATTGCTAAAATTCCTCTATGTTGGCAACTGTTCCGAAGAATTTAGGTTTCTAGTCATCGATCATAAAGCACCTATAAATGATGGAAGCAGACTCAGGACAGCACCAAATCTTGTTAGCATAAGTCTGTCACCTTTCACTCTTAATATCATAACATGAATGCAAGTTTAACCTATAAAACATAATTATTATATGATTATATTTTGTCACACAGAGTTCATTCAAAAATAGCTATGCAGTGTCATCGTGGCTTTTAACTGTTTGATCTTGCATCTTATTTTTAAAATATAGTCTCAAATATTTAAGTAAAAAGTTTGATTTTTGAGCCATATTTTGTCATTTGACGTTTAGTCTCAGTACCAATTTTACACCGGAAAAACCTGAGGGACATCTATAATGAAAGAAAATTAATATTAATGTTCATACTTAGGCTTGCAAAGTCATTTTTATTTATCTTTTTAATTCGGTTAAAGCGGGAGTAGAAATAGGCAGTGTTCTTCGGCAGTGGAGGGACAGTGTCAAGTTCATGGTCATCACAGTATACAGTGGTTCCTATACAAGTACATAGAAGGCAGGTTGGAAAATCTGAAAAGAATAGGAAATAAATGTATTTTAGCAAAATAATTATACACATAGTTGAGCTCTGATTATATGAGTTAAAAACAATGCTAAGGGGGTAGGGAGATGGCTTAGCAATTAAGAGCACTGACTGCTCTTGCGGAGGACCCAGGTTCAATTCCCAGGATCCACATGGCAGCTAACAAGCATCTGTAACTCCAGTTCCAGAGGATCCAACATGTTTGTCTGACCTGAAGGCATTGCACAACATGGATACACTTACACACATGCAGACAATACACTCATACACAAAAAATAAAGATAATAAATAAAAAAATATTAAAATTTCACTCAGACCTTCCTTACATATTTCAAAATTTTTCATGGAGTTTTTCATAAATGGTAAGTTAAATGTGCTCTGATACTACTTATAAAATCAATTTTAAATTAGGGAATGGATATATTATGGTTGTTACTTTGATGTCTGTTAGGAATTCAGTTTTCAAAATATAATTATTGAGATTATAATTTTATAAAGTTAAAATATTATCTTTATTTTTTGTG